ATCATTCTCATCATCATAATCACAATCATCATGATCGTCATCACCATCATCGTCATCATCATCATCATCATCCTCATCCTCATCTACATCAGCATCATCATCAGCAGCAACATCATCGACCTCATCCTCGGCATTACCATCACAATCATCATCAACATCATCAACATCACAATTATCATTATCACCGTCAACATCACCACCATCATCATCATCATCATCATTATCATCCTCATCAATATCATAATCATCAGCATCATCATCTTCTTCATCAGCAACATCAGCATCGTCACCATCATCATCATCATCATCATCATCAGCATCATCATCAGCAGCATCACCAGCACCGTCAGCAGCATCATCATCAGCATCGGCATCATGATTATCATCATCATCAGCCGTATCATCAGCAGCATGGACAACATCATCAGCATCAGCATCAGCATCAGCATCAGCATCAGCATCAGCATCAGCAGTATCATCATCATCATCAGCATCATCATATCATCATCATCATCACCATCATCATAATCATCATCATTCCACAATCACCATCATCATCCAATCATCATCATCATCATCACATCTCATCCATCATCATCATCATCATCATCATCATCATCATCATCATCATCATCATCATCATCATCATCATCATCATCATCATCATCTTCATCATCATCATCATCATCATCATCATCATCATCATCATCATCATCATCATCATCATCATCATCATCATCATCATCATCATCATCATCATCATCATCATCATCATCATCATCATCATCATCATCATCATCATCATCATGACGATCATCATCGCCTTATCAGTATCATCATCTTCTCTCCTGTGTTATGGCCTCCTCATTCTCTTCCAGGGCCTTCTCCTCCTCGTCTCCCTCTCTCCTTCATTCATGTATTTTTCCTTCTCATTTGCTCACCCTTCCTTTCTCCTATTCATTATCCTACTCCTACTCCTCATCCTCTTCCTCCTCCTCCCCTATTTCCTCCTCCTCCTCCTCCTCCGCCTGCTTCCTCCTCCTCCTCTTCCTCCTCCTTCTCCTCCTCCTCTGGTTCTTCCCCCAGAATGGTGGCGGGCAAGAAGACTAGCTGCGGGGAGGGGTCCCAGCGTCTCCGTGGGCGCGCCGTCCAGGTGGCCTGGCCAAGAGCCCCCTCTTGCCCTACCCCTCCGCCTCCGCCTCATCCTGCTCCTTCCCTCTTCCTCCTCCTCCTCCTCCTCGCCCGCCTCCTCCTCCTCCTCCTCCTCCTCCTCCTCCTCCTCTTCCTCCTCCTTCTGCACCACGTCCTCGTCATCGTCCTCGTCCTTGTCCTCTGCCTCCTCCTCCTCCTTCTTCTCCTTCTCCTCCTCCTCCTCCTCCGAAGGATCCACGACGCCCTCGGGCGGCAGGGGCGGGGGGGGGATGTTATCGTCCTGCGCCGCCGCCTCCAGCTGGGCCGTCGCGCCCGACACGTCCTCCAGCAGCGCGGAGAGCCTGGACACCTGCTGCTCCCAGAGGCCCTCCGCGGCGCACCGCGCCCGGGGGGGCGGTCGCGGCCTCTCCGCGCCGGAGCGAGCGCCCGCGCCCGCGCCTGCGCGCCAGAGGGCGTCCCAGACCTCCAACGCCTCGAGAAACGCGAGATGGGCCTCGAGAAGCTCGAGACAGACTTGCTCCGCATGTCTCGGCCTCTGGGAGCCCTCGCGAGGCCCCATGGGGCCGGCGACAGAAACGGCTCGGGACGCAGAGCTGGCCCCGGCGAGGAGGTCCGGACCTCCGGCTCCGGGGACCCCGCCCTGAGAAACTCGGGACATCGGATGTCCAGGGTCCGCGCACCTGCGCGCGCGCGCCTGCGCACCTCGGCGCGCTTCCCAGACCCCCTCGAGTTATGAAAAAATCACGACGGGAGGTTTTTCTCTATTTTTGGGCTTTGGGGGCCCTTACCGGCCCTCGGGACCGTCAAAAAACGACTCAGGACGAAAAACCGGTCCCGGGGAATGGGTCGAGACCTCGGGGGGTCGACGTCATGAAAAAATCATGACGTCGGGGGTCTGGGTTCCGCGCGCGCGCGCCCTGCGCACGCTGCGCACGCCGAGACTGCCGAAAGCGCTGGCCGGCAGGGCAGCAAGAGCAGCAGGGGCAGCAAGACCAGCAGGGCCGGAGCGGCTGGGCCAGGGCCCCTCTCGGGAGGGGAGGATCCCCCGACTCCGGATCCGCCATACTTTGGTTGTGATCTTCCGACCTGCAAGTGTGTGTGTGTGTGTTGTGGGAAATGCACCCCCAAAAAGGGGCGATCCCATGAGGCGACTATTTCCGCTTCAACAACAAATAGGGCAGCTACTTCCGCAAAAGCATGGCGGAAACAGCGACGGCAAAGTAGGGCAAACATCGGCATCAAAATAGTTCTCGCCCCGAAAGAAGCGGATCCGGAATCGGGGGAATGTTCAGGAGGGAGCTGGCTATCCGCTCGCGCTGGCCCTGACCGGGCCGATTCTGGGCCGAAGATCGGCGGATGCGCCCTCGTGGCCCAGCGAGAGGGGGTGCGTCCACCAATCCCCGACCCATGGGTTGGCCTGACAAGCGCTGGCGAGGCCCAAAAGGGGGGCAGCAACTGAGAGGACAGAGTCGAGGAGAACTCCGCCAACAGGGCTCTGCGATCTCTCCGGACGTTACTCTTGGGGGAGGTCTTGCGAGGAAGCTGGAAGCACGCGCGGATGGTTTCGCACGCGGGGCATGCTGGCCCCTGTGGCGCTCGGCTGAGAACGGGCAGGGAGAGTGTTACCCGCCAAGAGCTCATCACTATCCCCAAGATTGACAGGCCCAATGCGATGCCTATATCAGGGATGTGCCCGCAGGAACCAGACGAATCCTTAAGGTCGGCACCGAGACGAGGTGATGCCGATCGTGGGGACAGGGGAATGATGTCTTCCAGCCTGGACATCATGCAGCGGAGCGGGGGGGGGGGGGGGCAGAGAATGCTGGGGCGGAGCGGGCGCGGGGCTGCCGGGGCAGAAGAGGGCCAGGCCTGGCTTGCTGCGGCGGAGGGGCGGCGCCGTGCCGAGCGGGGCAAGAGGGCCGGGGGCGGACGGGGCGCTGGGCCGCTGCGGGACGAGGAGCGTTGAACCGGCCGGGTGCGGCGGAGGCGCGGCTCCATGCCTCAAGAGAACTAAGAAGGCCAAAACCCCAGGCGCAAAACAAAAAACAATGGAGCAACTAACAATTGGCTGCGCCGTCAACTACGCCATCAACCACCGACCGCAAGACGGCATGCTGTGGCCTGCGCCATCGGCTGCCGAACACGGCAAGGCCTACTGTAGGCTGCGCCAAATGTGTTGCGTCCTCGCCTGCCGAACATGAAGCGGCATGCCGGCAGTTTCTCCGTACACTGCGCCCTCGACTGCACGGTTTTCGAAAAATTGCGTCATAGGTTGCGCCGTCGGCTGCCGAACATGAAACGGCCTCCTGATGGTTTCGCCATGAGCTGCGCCCTCGGCTGCACGCCGTGTTAACGGTTGCGCCACAAGCTGTGCCCTCGGGTGCAGAACATGAAACGGCCTGCTGGTGGTTTCGCCATTCAATTAGCTGCGCCCTCGGCTGCATGGCATGCTAATGGTTGCGCCATAGGTTGCGTCTTCGGCTGCCGAACATGGAACGAGCTGCTGGTGGCTTTCCGATTACGCCCCCAGCTGCCAAATATTGCACGGCCTGCTGACTTGTGCGCCATAGGCTGCGTCCTCTGCCACCGCACATGAACCAGCCTGCTGGTGGTTTCATGCTTGGTTGTGCCCTCGGTTGCCGAATGCAGCCCTGCCTACTGCTGGTTGCGCCCTCGGCATCCAAAAATAACGCAGCCTGTTGTCGGTTCCGCCATAGGTTGCGCCCTCGGCTGTCGACGAAAACTCGAACCGCTGCCTGTTTCCGCCAAAGGATGCGCCCTCAAGTGCAGAAACAACCGGCCTGTATCGTGCCATGGGTTTCTTCCTCGGCCGCCGAAAATAAAACTGACTGCTATGTACTGATCGCGCTGCTAAGTGTGCCCTCGGCCGCCCAACATGAAACGGCCTGCTAATGAGTGGGAATGGCCAGTCAGTCTGTCAGGGGCGCTGCAAGTGATGGGGGCCCTGGGACACACACATAAATACACACAAATAAAAATATTCCCGATATTTTCCCATATTTTTGTGTCTCTGTCTTCCCCACCACTTCCCACATTTTCGGGGGGAATCGACGATTAATTGTGTCTGTGTGTTTCTTTCCCTCCTGAGCAGGAGGCGCCACCCAAGGGGGTCCGGCGCTGGTCAAAGACGCCCGCGCGGGGCTCCTAAAATGTATGCCATTGATTATGCAGAGGAGGAGGAGGAGGAGGAGGAGGAGGAGGAGGAGGAGGAGGAGGAGGAGGAGGAGGAGGAGGATATCTGTTGAAGTTGAGGCAGGGCCACAAAAACATGGGTCAAGGACATGGACCCCGTGGCCGAAGGCCCAAGAACCCATAGAGGTACCCAAAACGAAGAACATTCCAAGGTGGGAAGCCCAATCACGAAGAACATAAGGCTGCCCCTCCAAAGCTAGGATTGTTCTTCGCCCTCGCGCCAGCTGGTGGGTTCCAGGAACTTTTGATCTGCGGGTCGAGAGCGAGCCTCTTCCGACAGAAGCTAGGCGGGCCGCGCACAGCTTTAACTAGCAGAGGGAGGGCAAAAGAAGGCGGGGCCTCACGTCAAGGCCGGGAACGGGCCGAGCCCTGGGATCAGGCGGTGCCGAAGGTGAAGTGCAGGAAAAGGCACGCCTTGGACAGGAGCCCGGTGGCGAAGTCCTGGGAAGAGGCGACGGGGTTCCAGAAACACAGAGCCCCTAAACAATACAATCTCTCCTTGGAGGATCGGTTTTTGCTTTTGCCCGCTTCCGCTGGCCTTCCGCCGGCGGAGATGGCCTCGTTTCACTTCTGCCGCCCTTCCGCCGCCTTCCGCCAGGGAGGGGCTGTTGACTCCATCAGCCCTCGAAGGCTAGGCCCTTTTCTGGGGGAGCGCGCCATCTGAATTCGAGTTTGGTCACATCGCCCCGCGCCCTCCGCGGCGGCCATGCGCCGAATCGCAGAGGCCGCGGCCGACGGCCGCCCCTCTCGGAGCTCCACCGCTGAGGCGGCGAGACACCGAGAAGGCCCGTTGTAGGTTTTACACAACGGTCTGCGACAGCTCCGCGGCGCGCCCAGGGGGGCAAGCGAAGGGGGGCAGGCCCGCTCAGAAAAGGCGGCAGGGCCTCTCGGAAGCCCTCGCGCCTTATGGGAAGCCCCCTGTTGCTTCGGAGATGACTACCTACCAGACCACCCCAACCCAACCCGAAGACCCCAATTTCGGGTTGGGGGGGGTATGGGTTCCATACGTGTTTTTTCGACGTTCCCCGACCCCCCCCCACTGGAAATGGAGGTCAATTTGAGGCCTTCGGGTTGGGTTGGGGTGGTTTGGTGGGTAAGCTTCTCCGACGTCTGGAGACCTTCCGATCCTTCTGAGGATGCTCGCCCCCTCTGCTTTCCGCCCTGGGCGCGCCGCTGAAGAAGGAGAACGGCACCGTGGCAATCCCAGCGGTCGCCTCCGAGGGGGCCCGGAACTGTAAGACAGGGCCGTGCGAGACCGCCAGGCAGGGCTGGGAACGCCGCACGAGCCAGTCTGCCAGAGGTGAGCTCGTGCGAGGCCGCGCCTGCTGTACATGTGCGCCGCGCGAGGCCACCTGAAGCGGGGGGTGGAAGGAGGGAGGGCGCCAAATTCGCCAGCCGCACGGGCCAGAGGCGTGTCAGTCCTGGCTAGCACGGGGACGGAAAATGCCCTACGTCTTGAGAGAGCGCGAGCACCCTCCGCAAAGACTCCCTCAAGCATGCCGAAACGGCTCCAAGGCCCCAATCGGTCCCCGCACTCGGCCCCCGGGCGGCCCCAGGACGGGCCCAAGTTTTGGTCCACGGGCGAGTGGGGACCATGGCCCCCGAACGCTCACTGATCGGAAGCTACGTGGCCTGACGGGGGGGTCGACGTGACTCCCGCTCTGCGCGGCCTCAATGTTGCACTCCTGCAAGCAGTGCCCGCCGCACACGCTTCTTAGAACGTCAGGATCCGAAGCACGTTCGAGCAGAGAGGGAAGGGATGGACGCAAGGAGAGTTGTGGAGTCAGATGATGGTGATGAGGAGCAATACTGCATTCGAGGGTGACTCAAGCGGCAGGGAGCCGTGAGTGCTCACGAGCCCGCACCACCAACAAGAGTTTAGGCCTGCCCGCCAGTGGACGGCAGTTCACGATCGCCGCTGGGGCAAAGCCTACGAAACGAAGCGTGAAGGGCCACTGCCACACAATGCCTTGGACATCGGTAGGACACGACAAGTCCCAGACATCCGGAGATGTGGATCTTTCAAGCCGTGGGCCCAGAGCTCCCGACTCCTTCTCTGGGGGCCACTTTTTGTCCCAGGCGCATTTTCGATGGTCCCGGGCCCGACAGCGGGCCTCAGAGGCCGAAATCAGAGGAAACGTCAATATTGAAAAAAAACATATCGTCGGATATCCGTGGCAGGAGCGCAGAACTCTGCAATATTGCCGGAGAGCCGTAAGACTCGAATTTGGAGGACTCGAATTGGCCTGGCGGCGCCGTCAGAAAGATGACGAAACTCAATCTCAGATTTGACGGGAGGTCCCGCCGCAAACGTCCCGTGAAAGCTGGACCGTCAAAATTCAGGACGGCCCCGTCAACAAGCATGGGCAAACCCGAGTTCTGGCGAACCCCAGTCGTACGGCTTCCCGAAAGGAGAGGGGGGAGGGAGGGGAGAAGTGAGTAGGAGGGGGAGGAGGAATCCTGAAATCCGACGTTTCGAAACAATTGCAACGCCACGGAAAAATACGACCATGATGCCATAGACCCTACCTTTGTACTACATGTTTGCGGCTGTATCGATCTGCGATGGCCCCGGTGTGAAAGAATAACTAAGGCCCCGATCTCAGGGAGACGAGGGACAAAGCGGAAGGGAAGGAGTTGCGCGCGGCGCCGCTAGTTATAAGTAGTTATGCAAGTTGCAACTAGAATCTAGTTGCAAAAAAAGCTCAAATTTCAAAAACAGCTTGAAAAACATAAAACAACGACCCGGAACTTTCCCGGAACTTTCCCGGAACTTTTTTTGAACTTCATGAAAAAAAAAACATCCGAGGGGCCACTTTGCCTTGGAGCAGCATTACACAACTAGATGCGCTAGTTCTGGCCTGCAGAACACATAGTTATAAGTAGGCTGTATCTGGTGCAACTGGGCTCCTTATTTCTGCGGCTTGGCTTCCTAATTTCTGTGATTTCCATGTTCGGAGTTCTGCTTTTTGTAATGTTGCAGCTGTATGCGGTTCACTGCACTATTGCTAATGTTGGGTTGCCGAAATTATGATTTCGATGTTACCGAAACCGATGGCCACAGAATTGCGCACGCGCAAACCACAATACTGATGTCAGAATTTGCTGATGTTGGAAGCGTTGTTTTGGGCGATATGGGATCCGATCTACAAGCCGCGCGCAAACGTATAGTGCAGAGACCATGTCACCGTAGCAACCTCGTTGACGAATGAAGTCCAAATTACGTGGGCCCGCAACTCGCCCGACACAGGACTGGGGTTGTCTTCTCGGCCCGCTCAGATGTAGCATGTCGGCCGTCTGTTCTTCTAAACGTTCACATGGACAGGCACGTCCAGTACATGCCGCCAACGCAGAGATGATACGACATTTTCCCGCACTCTCGGCGCCTGGCACCGCCAAGCAGGACGACGACCAAATGGATGAACTTTGCGCCCGCTTCAGCAACGAAGCTGGATATCTCGATGTTGCCTGAGCCTGGGAACATTTCCCTCCCTGGCAGGCGCAGCGCCTTCGGCAACGCATGCCAATTGCCGCCAACGCGCGTGGAGAACTTCAGGTCTGCGAAATGTTGGCAGCACAACTCCTCTATTAAACCCTTGGTGTAGTAGATACCTCTCGACTAGCGGTGCATTGCAAACCTTGTCTGGTCCTTCTGTTTTCGCGAGTGTAGTCGCTCTCATCGCCGACGCGCTTCATCTGGATCTCCTCCTCCGCGGCTTCCGAACTGCGCGGGCCCATGTCTTGGCGGCCTCAATCGCGGCATCGGCGCCCTCGCCCGCATATGCCACTTGCGACATCCTGTCGGCGACTCCGCCCACGAACTGCGCCGGCGCGGGAGGGGTCGCAGCTCTCGACGCGGGCGCCTTGGCCGCGGCCCCTGGCTTTGCCCAGGGGGGTGGTGAGCGGCGCGCCTGCAATGGTAGCCAGGTCCTGCACGTACTCGTAGCCGACGTGGTGAAGCGACCCGAACTTTGGGCTCCTGGGGTCGGGCCTCTTCATGCGATGATGCACGGGCCTCCTGCCGAACCTGTTGAGCAACGTCTTCACGGACGCGCGGTCTGCCGATATGGCGGCGCTCTTTGCGATGTCTGCAGCCGTCGATGTCGCGATGCCTGCTTGCGCGATCGCGCGCTGGACTTCCTTATTATCGGTGAGCTCGCCCCCGAGGTCAGCCGCGCTGCACGAGGTCTGCGCGTCGCCCGTGGCGCACTTGCCATCGGCGCTGACCACGGCCGCGACGCAGTCGAGGCGGATGGGGAACGCTACCCAAACCATCCGAGCCGATCGCCGCGTCGGCCGCCGCCGCCGAGACGCTCCACTGCCCGCGCAGGGCTTCTGGCACGAACGGCTGAAAGCGCGCATCTCCGTCAACCACGGTGCGTCTGGCCCGCTGCTGAGTTCCTCGCGAACTTCGCCAAGTCCGCGACCTCGAGAATGAAGTCTGGGTCGCTGTTTGCGCTGACGTAATGGCCCTCTGCCACGCGCGTTCGGGGTCCAGGGTGTCGCCCTCCTTCATAATGGTTTCGAAAGCCCAGATCAACTTCTGCACCGCGCACCTTGAACAAGGCCTCCCACCTCGTCTCACTCTCGGCAACCCTCTGTCCAGCATTTCCAGCCCCCCGATGGGCGCGCGGCCCTCCGCCAAAACCAGCGCACCAGATGCGGGGAAGGGGCGGGGGGGGGGCGGGGGCGGGGGCTGTCCAACAATTGAATGGGTCAACGCGCTGATCCCGCAATCAGTTGGGCCCTGAAGCAAGTCCACAACGCCGCCGACTGCGTCCTCAGCCTGCCAGACGAGCACGTCCCGCATAAACCCATCCCTCGAAACAGCTGCCAGTGCGGGGCGCTGCAGCCCCATCTTGAGGATGTCCAGCTTCCCATCGGTGCCGAACTCGACGTTCTCTGGATCTGCGGGGCTGCCAAACTGAACGCAGCGGGTCACCTGGGTCGCGTGCGACTTGCTCGCGCTGGGAATGTGGATCTAGCCTTAGCCGTATGGCGGCAAGAAACCGTGGGATTCGTTGACCACGTCTTGGTTGAACTTGAGTGCCTCGGCGTAGCGCGCGTGAGATGGGGGCGGCATCTCGCTGGCGATGGGCGCGCCCGCCTCTTCCATGCTGAACCCGTCACTGCAAAAACTGCGCACAAGAGTGCGCGCGTGGGATGGAATTCTGCCATCGACGTGCCTGTTTTGTGGGTGCACGGCAACAAAACGCCCATTCGTCAATGGGCGCCTCAACAAACCCTCTTTCCGCAACATTGTCACCGTCTGGTCGCGCAACTGGAGGATCGGGGGGCAATTGCTCAACGTGTACTCCTTGACGATCGCGTTGATATCCTCCTGGAAGCGTTCCACGCGCGCGGCGATGCCCGAACTCGCCATTGCCCAACTGCGCGAAACGCAAGGCGGGGGCGGCTGCGCTAAACGCAAGACGGGGCGCCTGAAACAAGTTGGTCTGGAGCGGCGGCAGCACGAACGCAGCAGCAATGGCAACGGCAACAATATTGTTTTCACAAGATGGCCGCCACCGCCTCCGCCCAATATTGCCCAGATCGGCGGGCCTGGGGCCCCAGGGTCTTCGGTTGGGCTTAAGGTCGACGTCATTGAAATCCTAGGGTTGGGAGGTCTCGGGTTCTCAGAGTGTCAGGCTGTTAAGCCATTTGGGTCTTGGGGTCGGGCGTCGTGGTCAGCGCGCACGATGCACTTGTGCTACCTATATGTGCTTACATACGTGCGCCCATAACTGGCGTGAGTGGCGTAACTGCAGTTACGCCACTTTTAAAGCTAGCCCGTAAGTGGCGTAACACCTTACGTCGCTTATAACTAGCTGGCCCTACTTATCAGTAGCCCCCTAACTGGCGTAACTACTCATGCCAGCTTATGAACTAGTTACGCTACTTCTGAACAATTTGTGAGCAACTTACAGAACTCATGAGGTACTTGTGAGCTACTTGCGCTAGATCGTAACTGGGCGAACTGATATATCTAACTTATAAATAGCCCCGCCGCGCGCAGAGGAGGAGTTCCGGCGAACTCGAGTCTTACGTCTCCCCGACTGTGGCGCTGCAGTCCTGAAGGCCTCCTAAATGGGGCCCAAGCAAGTGGGGTCGGAAGATCGCGCTCCAGGGCCGATGCATCGCCGATGCATCGCCGATGCATTGGCGACGCCAGCCTGGAGCAAGTCGGGCTCCACATCAAGCCGCATTGCCGATGCATCTGCGATCCGGTGCAATTCTTCGACCCCAACTACTTGATTCCCCGGGACACGTTTTTCATCCTGAGTCGTTCTGCCCCGAGGCCCGGTAAAGGCCCCTGCCGAACATAGCGAAAAACCTTCCGTCGTAAATTGTTGTTGGCTCGAGGGGGTCTGGGAGGGGGGCGCTGCAATCCTTTGCTCGCCGTAGAGGGCGAGTCGCTCTGGGGGGGAAGGCCGCGCGCGCGGCGCGGAGAGCCACGGTCCACGTGCGCGGGCGGTCATGGCTACCCCGCGGCGGCTGCTGCGCGCGCTCTTCCAAAATGGAAGAAAAACCCTGGAGTCCAGATCCGCCGTACGGCAGGTTCGCGTCGACTCCGGCGTTGACCTCTGACACCGCGGGGATTGCTCACGCTTGGACGGTCAGCTGTCTCCGAAACGTCAGATCGTTCAACGTCGACCGGTTCTGGGTCGCCGGCTGCGTTCAACGTTGGACGCCGGCGGCGGGGTCGCCGCCGGTCGACACGACTCGAAACTACCGTACGTTGGCTGATTCTCCGACTTAGGAATGTGTCGGAGATGCACCTCAAAGCTGATATTTTCGCCTCACGGGAAAAACTTAGATTTCCGCAAAGGTATGGCGGAAACGGTGACGGCAAAGTAGGGCGGACAAAATCGACATCAAAGGAGCTTGAAAAAGTAGGGCGGGGAATTTCCGCCCTGTTTGCGACATCTCCCAAAGCACGGCGGATCTGGAGTCAGGTTTTTCCACAAGAAAGAAAACAACACAAACAGAGAGCCTTCGGATGTACGTGCGAGCCTCCGACTTAGTCAGGCTACACACCATAAGGAGCGCTACGTCAGGATCGACGCCCTTTTCTTGCCCAAGGGTTATGTTGCTCCCATCGTACTTCAGGACCACATCCCAGAAAGAATTTCGAGCTCCCAGAAAAGTGTCTGAAAGAGTGTCGAAACAGCGTCTCCCAGGGCCCGACACGCGAAAACCCTCGAGTTTTGGGGTGCGCTCGAAACTCTTCCTGGTGCTCAAAGGCTAAAAAGTAGGCTGGCACATCACAACCCCATGGGGGCCCCTCTCTGTGCACGAGGAGCGCAGGGAGGACCTCAGACCCGAAGCCGAGCTGCTCCTCCTCCATCAGCGCCCTGGCTGCACACCCAGACCCCCGACGTCATGATTTGTTCATGACGTCGACCCCCCGAGTCGGGTCTCGACCCATTCCCCGGGACCGGTTTTTCGTCCTGAGTCGTTTTTTGACGGTCCCGAGGGCCGGTAAGGGCCCCCAGAGGCCGAAAATTGTGAAAAACCTCCCGTCGTGATTTTTTCATAACTCGAGGGGGTCTGGGGAGGGGGGGGGGTCCAGCGCCGGTCTGGGCACCTCGCTCTGCCTCCTCTCCGGCTCCGGCGCCGCCATCTGGAGCGCCAGCTCCCCGAGCCTCGTCGTGAACACGTCCAGCCTGGAGAGCAGGGCCCCGCCGGCCAGGGCGGCACCCGGAGCCCGCGGCTGCGCGGGCGCGCCCGCCCCTGCAGCTGCGGCGGCCGCGGCCTCCCTCCTCCCTCCTCCCTCCTCCTCCCCTCCTTATCTTCCTCGTACTCGTCCTCCTCCTCCTCTTTCTCCTCCCTCCTCCCCCCTCCCCCTCCTCCTCCCTCCCCCCTCCCCCTCCTCCTCCCCCCTCCCTCCCTCCTCCCTCCCCACCTTCCTCCCTCCTCCCTCTCCCTCCCCCCCCCCCCTCCCCCTCCCCCCCTCCCCTCTCCTCTCCCTCCTCCCCCCGTCCTCCTCCCTCTTCCTCCTCCCTCCTCCCCCTCTCCCGCCTCCATCCTCCTCCTCCCTCCTCCCCCCCTCCCCCCTCCTCCCTCCCCCCTCCCTCCCCCGCCCCCTTCCCTCCCTCCTCCCTCCCCTCCCCCCTCCTCCCTCCTCCCTCCCCTTCCCCCCACCCCCCCTCCTCGGCCCTCGGCAGCTCCGCCGCCTGCGCCGCGGCCGCCGGCGCGGAGGCCCCGCCCGCGGGCGCGGCGGGCGACGAGGCGCCCGAGGTGCCGCCGCCGCTGCTGCAGCGGGCGCTCGCGCAGGGGGCGCCCGCGGCGCTGCGCCACTGAAGGGGCACCAGGACACACAAGTGAATACACACACAAACACACAAATACACAAACACACACACACACACACAAACACACACACACAACACACAACACACAACACACAACACACACACACACAACACACACACACAAATGAATACACACACAAAAATAAAAGGATCCCCTATATTTTCCCATGTTTTCTGGGTTTTTGTCTCCCCCCTCCACTTCTCACACTTTCCCCTCTTTCCTGGGGAATCGACGACGAATTGTGTCTGTGTGTTTTTTCCCCTCCTGACCCACGTCGTGGCCGTGCCGCCCGGCGAGGGCGGAGGGCCCGGACCGGCTCCGCCGACGGCCTCCAGGGCGGCCCGCACGTCCTCCCAGGACGCGGGCCTGGGGTCGGGTCGGGCCTGTCCCCCACACAAGGGGATTTTCGACGGAAAATAAAAAATACCGCAACAATAACCCCAAAATGATCCAAAAATAGTCTGGGGACTATTTTTGTCTGGGACTATTTTTCGGGTATTTTTCGACCTCTTTGGGCCATTTTCTGAATATGTGCAATTTTCCGTCGAAGCTCCCCCATGTATCGGGGATGGACAGACCCCCCTTTAGCAAAACGTGGTTTAGTGAAAACGACCTGAAGCCCAAACCTGGCGGGCGCAAGCCTGGAAAATAACGGCCACGGCGCCCTCTCGAAAACCGAAAACGGAAAATTCACTAATCGACGTGTCACTGTTGGGGGTTCTGTCCACCCCCGAATGTAGGGGGACACGCCCGACTCGAGCCTGGGGCGCGGCTCCCCGGCGCTGACCAGCAGCAGCAGCGCCCCGACGAGCCCGCCGGCGCCCTCGAGCCCGCGCGGCGGGCGGCCCCGCCGGCAGGCCTCGTCGAGGCCGCGGAGCGCGGCGCGGACGGCCGCCAGCCGCCCGGCGACGGTCCGGGGGGCGAGGCAGGGCACGCGCCCCAGACCCCCTCGCGTTGTGAAAAAATCACGACGGGAGTTTTTTCATTATTTTTGGCCTCTGGGGGCCCCTACCGGCCCTCGGGACCGTCAAAAAACGACTCAGGACGAAAAACCGGTCCCGGGGAATGGGTCGAGACCTCGGGGGGTCGCCGTCATGAAAAAATCATGACGTCGGGGGTCTGGGGCATGAGCTCTCGGGGGGCCACGCGGGGTTCCTGGATCGGCGCTGGAGCCCCCCCCCCCAGACCCCCTCGAGTTATGAAGAAATCACGGCGCGAGGTTTTTCGCCATGTTCGGCCTCTGGGGGCCCTGACCGGCCCTCGGGAGCGTCAAAAAACGACTCAGGACGACAAACCGTTCCGGGGGAAGGGGTCGAGACCTCGGGGGGTCGGTCGACGTCATGAACAAATCATGACGTCGGGGGTCTGGGCCTGGCGCCGCCTCTCAGGGGGCCCTGGCGCGCTCTGCACGCCAGGGACCCAGACCCCCGACGTCATGATTTTTTCATGACGTCGACCCCCCGAGGTCTCGACCCATTCCCCGGGACCGGTTTTTCGTCCTGAGTCGTTTTTTGACGGTCCCGAGGGCCGGTAAGGGCCCCCAGAGGCCAAAAATAATGAAAAACCTCCCGTCGTGATTTTTTCATAACTCGAGGGGGTCTGGGGAGGGGGGGGGTCCAGCGCCGGTCCAAGAAAGCCGCGCGGATCTCCGAAAGATTCGGCTTCTGCCACTGCTTGTTCCCCGAATGGTGTCGTGCACGCCCCGCGAGGCGAGCTCGGCCTGCAGCGGCGCCCAGGCCTCCCGCCGAGGCGTGGCCTTCAGCAGCCTGTCCCACCACCTGCGCGGCGAAAAGGAAGAGGCCTTCCCAGACCCCCTCGAGTTATGAAAAAATCACGACGGGGGGGTTTTCGCCATTTTCGGCCTCTGGGGGCCCTGACCGGGCCTCGGGAGCGTCAAAAAACGACTCAGGACGAAAAACCGGTCCTGGGGAAGAGGTCGAGACCTCGGGGGGTCGACGTCATGAAAAAATCATGACGTCGGGGGTCTGGGTTCAGCACGATCACATGCCGGCCTCACGCCGTGGCTCACGCGGGCCGCCAGGGCGAACGCTACGTTGGATACGAGGGCGCTTACCGCGCGACCTTGATTACGCGGGCAGCTTCGCTGAGATCCGACGTCGCGAATGAAAGCAACATCGCGAACACCGGAGCCCGGGCCACACCTTCCTGCCTTCTTTCCTCGGGGGCGGCAAAGAGGGGGGTGTCCAAAAGGGGGGGGTGCAAATCATGACGGGCGGCATGTGCGCGGCCCAGCGGGGGGGCCGGGGACATAATGAAATAAGAAGAGGCGCCATGAAATCTGGGGAAATATCATGGCCCCCGCCATGATATCCACCCCCCCCTAGTCATCACCCCCCTCTTTTCCGCCCCCGATTCCTGAGCCGCGTCGATGTCCGTGAGGGCCCCCGGGGCCCGCCAAACCGGACGGCACCGCCCGGCGTGGCGGCAAAAGCTTGCAGCACGCCCGGCTCTCGGGATGCCTCGCGACGGTCGGCGCGTCGTCGGGCCCGCTCCCCCCTCGAGTTATGAAAAAATCACGACGGGAAATTTCTCATGTTTTTTGGCCTTTGGGGGCCCTCACCGGCCCTCGGGACCGTCAAAAAACGACTCGGGTCGAAAAACCGGTCCCGGGGAATGGGTCGAGACCTCGGGGGGTCGACGTCATGAACAAATCATGACGTCGGGGGTCTGGGCATGGAGGGGGCCACAGGCGATCCCTACCCATGCCCCCCACGATTTCTGAGGGGGAGGGGGAGGGTCACTTCGTTCGGGAGCTCCCGAGCGAAGCGAGCCCCACCCTCCCCCTCAGAAATCGTGGGGGCAGGGGTAGGGTTCGCATGTGGCCCCCCAGCGCCTGCGCAGGGCGAAGGGCAAGGCGGGGGGTTCTCGTTGTTTCCCGCGCCTGGGGGGCCCTCGCCGGGCCCCGGGGGCCGTCCAAGAACGATCCGAGGCGAGGGAGCCGGCCCCAGGGAGGTCCCGTGCCGAAAAGAAGATCGAGGTACGCGTCGGAGGTCTGTGGACCAAGGGGGGGCACCACCGTTCATAGGGGGGGTCATCACTTCCTCCTGGGACGCGAAGGGTAGGGTTCGCATGTGGCCCCCCAGCAGGGCGAAGGGCAAGGCAGGGGGTCTGGGGCCTCCGCGCCCTGGCCACCTGGACGCGTCCTCCCAGTACTTCGCCCAGGCCGCCGCCAGCCGTGCCAGCTCGGGCGCCAGGGCCGGAGGCGCGGGCAGCAGCTGGCAGAGCAGCTGGAGGGCGGTGAGGCCCAGGCCCTGCAGGTCGAGGTGAGCCTGCAGAGAGGAAGGGGCCCCAGGACACACGAATAAATACACACACACACAAATAAAACCGGGTTCCGCATATTTTCCTATATTTTTTGGGTTTTCGTCTTCCCCTTCCACTTCCCATATTTTCCTGGGGAGTGGGCGATTCATTGTGTCTGTGTGCTTTTTCCCCTCCTGAAGAGAGGCGTCCCGAAGGCAAGGGTCGGAGCAGAGGTGGGGTCGGAGGATGGATGCCCAGGCCTCCCACGCTTGGAAACATGTGAAGCGGATGGACCGTCAGAAAATGACTCGGGACGCAAACCAGCCCCGGGGAAGAGGCCCAGGCCTCCGGGGACCCCGCGAAACTCAAGACATCGGATGCATCGCCGACGTCGGCGGTGCATCGGCGCCGTCGGCGTGGGAAAGATCGGGCCCCACCTCGAGCCGCATCACCGATGTATCGGCGATGCGGCGCGATCCACTGACCCCATCTATACGCCGACCCCATTTGGGAGGCCTATAGAGCCTGGTACTCCTGGCAGAGGGCCTGGTCAACGGCGGCTGGGGGGGTCTGAACTATGGACGAGGCCCCAGAAAATCGATCAAGAGGGCGAGGGCGAGGCCAACTCCGTTCAAAACCAATCCCTGGACCCCTGCTGGGGTCCGTCCCCAGACCCCCGACGTCATGATTCTTTCATGACGTCGACCCCCCGAGGTCTCGACCCCTTCCCCGGGACCGGTTTCTCGTCCCGAGTCGTTTTTTGACGCTCCCGAGGCCCGGTGAGGGCCCCCGGAGGCCGAACATAGCGAAAAACCTCCCGTCGTGATTTTTTCATACCTCGAGGGGGTCTGGGGACGGGCGGCCCTGGCCGAGCAGCGGTAGAGGAGGAGGAGGAGGAGGAGGAGGAGGAGGAGGAGGATGAGGCGGAGGGGGAGGAGGAGGAGGGAGGAGGAGGAGGAGGAGGAGGAGGAGGAGGAGGAGGAGGAGGAGGAGGGAGGAGGAGGAGGGAGGAGGAGGGGGAGGGGGAGGGAGGGAGGAGGGAGGAGGGAGGAGGGTAGGAGGAGGAGGGAGGAGGGAGGCGGGAGGAGGAGAGAGGAGGAGGAGGAGAGGAGGAGGGAGGAGGAGGAGGCGGG